TTTCTGTTTCATGGTGTTATAATTGACCATTATTATTATCATTAATATAATCATATTTTATTTCTTCAGAGGATATAATTTACACGGATGTTTAGGAACGATTTTTAGAGTAATTTAATTTTCCAACAACTTACTCAAAGTGATCGGTTAATTTTCTTATCACGAAAACGAAATATGCGTGGATTCCTTGAGCTTCACGTTTCCAAATTGGCACTTTGCATTTCATCCTAATTTGATTGACACATTTTCTTCTCTCTAATAGAGGGCCTAAATCCTGTCGAAATTAAGTCTCCCAAATCCGTCATTCAACATGATGGAGTCATTTTCGATGCATGGAATTATTTCTCCTCCCATTTTAAATACTTTCCCCTTCATCAATATTAAATATAATAAAGGCAAAACTTTAAATAAATGTGGAATTGCATTGTTAATCAGTTGAAAATTTTCAATGCTTTTCTTTTCCATCTCTCATGAAACAGAAGTTAAGCGAACTGATTAATGGAAGTTAGGGAAAAAAGAGATGTAATCAAGCCAGAATGGACCTTCATCCATCCAATAGGTATGTATCAAAAACTCATTGCTCACAAACACCAACACTTCGCCAATTCGCCTAATGGCTACATAATGTAGGCACAAATGGGCTATATAATTTCGCCTATGTTGACAGAAATGATGAAAATGTCCCTCGGGGACTTGTATTTATGATCTTGCTAAACCCCCCCCCCCCGCCACCCTCACTTGGAAATAATATATTTACGAATCACTGATAATTGAAATTCATAAAACAACCGCTTTACTGAATGACTTATTTAAATTTCTCTATTCCATAAAATGACTTTCGCTGATGATTCGATTGAGCTTACTTCATCTTATTAGAAGTTAGTTCAAAACAGGGGCTATTTAAACAAGCGGGTTTTATGTTATGGAAGAAAATTGTAAACGAAATATTTTCTATCATCGGTGTCAGGGAAAAATGTACTCTGGTAAATAATTTTGCAATATCCTACAGAGTGCCATTTTGGTGTTGTTAATCAATTGCATTTGCCCACTAGCAGAGGCCAACAACCCGATCAACTGATATTCGGTACAGATTTTATTATGACGAAATTGAATTATTAGCAGGGTTTCTATTCGAGGCCTCGAAGGTTAAAATACGGGCATGGAAATTTTGCCTACTGAAGAATAATGATAAAAGCTCTAGCCACATAAGACTATTCATTTGATTGAGATATCTGTCCCATTACTCCTTTCAATCCAATCCGTTTCAGCAAAGTATCACTATCTTTTGCCATAAAATCACAGGATTATTTATCGATTAATAGTAAACGTAAATATAGAGGACATTGCTTTGGTCAATTTGAATTTATTTTACCCTGTGAAGCACAACAAGACATGAAGTCGGATATTTGTTTTCAAGTTGCTACTCATTTAATTCGACTGTCCAACCAATAAAGTAAAAATCGAAATTTCTCAGTTGGAATTGAATTGAAAGAAAGGTGAAAGCATTATATATATATATATATATATATATATATAATTTATCTACTAATCAGGGTTTAACTTCCTTCGTTTTATCCAGGTATTCAATACCGCATTTTCCACTATTCCATCTCCCACTTCGAAATTTAGTGAAACGTCAAATTGTTAAGAGATGGATTCAATTACGTTTTCTTACACACATAAGACCGGTTTAAGCATTTTAAATGGAAAAAGATATGGAAGTAAGCTATTGGGCTCAAGTAAACCAACCTGGAAATCAATTTTAATTGCAAGGAGGTTTTTAGACAAAATTTTTAGAATCTAGAAATATTTAAAGCTAAATCGAACGCATACCATCAGGCCCTTCCCCACAATAAAAGTCAATTAAAAAATAAATAACAACAATTTTATGCGAGGACTAAATGCACTAAATCATTTAAAGTTAAACATGTTTATCAAATTTTAGAAGGGTCAAATGCGAATCGAGGATCATGCAACAAGATAGTATAGCATATTTAATTTTCTCTACTACTGCGTAATAATTGCATTTCAAGAATTTTTGGTATTAAAAGTTCATGCCTGCCTATATTTTCACTAGGTTTATTTCCTGGGGGTCAGATTTTGAGGGCACAAAACGAAATAGCCACTTTTAAAAGGTTAAAATAATTATGAGTGTGGTATGCAAAGCAAAAATATCCTATAATTAATTTTAAACAAATTACAAAATTAAAACCCAAAAATAACTTAAAGCTATTTCACGCGAGTTTGCTTCCTAAATATTACTTTTATTCGAAATATGAATTAAAAGCATAGAGTTTCATAATTTCGATCAATAAAAAAATAATAAAAATTTATTGATCACACCGAAGTAAATACTTTGATTTGGTTCCATCTTTACCACAAATAATTTAATTCAAATTTCAATTGAGCTTCTGGAATAGTGAAGGCGACTGACCCACTCAGATATTTGTGTTCAATTGGCAAAACCTTGCATGATTCCGCATCATTAACAATTCAGACACTCTTGGGGAGAATAGATTATAGAGTTGCGTGTTTTTGGAAACTGAACCGGCTTTAGACTGCTCCTCCTCCTCCGACAGGCAACGTAAGTCTAGCGCATATATATATATATATACAACGGAGAAAGTAGGAATTCCAGTAATAACATACGTGAACAGCTGTGCATGAGGGGCTCTGTTAATTAGCCTAAAGCAAGATCCACTTCTATGCCTATTGTATAAATTTTAAACTGTATCTTGGTCTAATAAGTGCACTATAACCTGTACTGTGATTCAGTTTCATGTAATTAAAACATCTAACTAATTTCAGCATTACGAGGTGATTGTAACCCATTTTTTGAATATTGAACGAATTTCCCAGTCAGTCATTCAATTTCTAAATCACGCACTTAAGATATGGTGAATTTTCAAAATTTTGGGAGATTGGAGTTGTGTGAATCTTTTGCCACAATTTAAAGATTAGAAAATGCTGTATAAGAAAACTTGAGCATAGCTTATTCTAAAATGCATGGAATAATAGAAATTGTTTAAATTATTTGGAGTACTGAAGAGGTGGTAACTAATAGCACAATTTCTGATATTGCATTAATTAAAATAAGATTTGAAAATTGTATACTACTCCGAAAGTACTTTTGAGGTAATATTTTTGGCTACATCTAAAAAGGGGGATTTCGGAAATGAATATTGATACTATTCAGTTGTCAATGCTCAATCAATGATATTACACATAGTGTAATAACTCAAAGCTGGTTTACAAAGCTACCGCCCTTTGCCACGTTGGTATAATTGTGTGAAATGCAGAGCTATGTGATGGCCTGGTTTAAATCCACGATTGGTTAGGCCAACTTGAATTAATTTCGTCTAATTTCATCCCTGAGATTACAAATATTAAAAAATGATTTCTAAATATTTAACAACTGGTTTAAAATTACAAAATGTTTTTCTTTTGAAATTCATCCAAGATAAATTGATTAAGACAAACAATGCTCAAAGGACTTCTAACTGATTTTAAAAATTGAGCCGATGAATGCTTTGGTAAATCTAATTAATCTCAATGGCTATTATAACACTAATGTCATATCGTTTCTAATCCAACGCTTAAAATTTTGGTTAAAGAAAATCAATTTTGGTTACGATAGGTTGAGATACGTTTTTATACAATTTGAAAATAACTCCCCCTCCCCGCATCTCTTATCTACTGGTGAAAATCAATAATAACTATTTCTTTCAACAGCATATTTTTGATTAAATGTGCTTGACTAATAAGTTACATTTAAAGTTCGAATATGGGATATCCGCTTGACAGTATGTTCGGTGGATTGCATTGCCACGTTTTTAGTGGAAAGATGACGAGATTAGCTAATCCCCAGATTTTGCCCCGTTGCCTATTAAATATGACAGCAAGTTAACCTGCCAACAAATTCAAGTTAAAAAGATCTAAATTTCCAAGAAGGCCAAATAATCCAAATCAACCTTTCCTTGAAGAAATTTTTAAATTTAACGTGATGTTTTGAAATTTGCATTATTGTAAAAGAGAAAAATGTTATGGCCGCATGTTTGTTCCAACTTGCACCAAAGAAATGCTCCTCTTAAAAAATTCATTTTGTTTTACTTAAATACTTTTAAGTCCGAAGTTCCTAACCAATAACAATATTCATTACTGATTTATAATATAATTTTGTTGAAGATTCTATTTATTTTTTGATAATTATTAGTCCTATAGCTGTTAAAGCATTTAAAAAAGGGATACATTTAATTACTATCAATAAATTTTAAAATTCACATTTCTTTCCAACGGCATTATTGCCCACAGAAAGCAAATAATCGTTGGAAGTTCGGTGAGTGGCAATAATAACTATTGAACTGCAATAAGTCCAACTAATGGTAAGAGGTAAAAAAGAGAAAGTTGAGAGTTACGTAGCTGCATTTGATTGTTATGTTTTAACTTAAGTTATACCAAAATTGGCTTAATGAGTAGCACTCTTTCCACAAATCTAATTTTTCATCTCCTGGTTGGTCAGCGACATTCCGCGCAGATTAACAGACAGCATTTGATCAAAATTCACAAGTGTAACCTCTTTGTTTCATCTATCTTTAATTCTTTGGGAGGCTAGAATTGTCTTATATGCAGCTTATCAGTTTTATGAACTTAACATAGAAAATATGAAAATGATAAAGATCTCAAGCCAGCGAAATTCATAAAGCTGCGTCCAGACTGTTGACAACTATATTTCAAATTTGTTTTGACATCGAAATCAATTTAAGCAATAACGTTTTTAAGCTACCGGGTTTTCACTGGTTAACCCACCACAATCCCAAGCTTGTTAAGCCAATCAAATTTCTACAACTGTGATTGGTTCAGAGGTCGCAAGCTAACCTTGAATCTATTCCAAATCAGGCAACCCGTTTCTCCCCTAACTTTATCAAAGAACCACGCATACATGTTTCCTGTGGAATAGATCAGACCTCTTGATGTGATCCCCTAACGGTAATAATTTTAAAATGCCTCTGTCAAAATCCTCGCTTCCTACTACGGTGACTCCTGTAACGACTACGGAGTCGGGGGAAGAATACGCCGATGAAAGGGATTTCAATATATTCGTAATCGCTTTCAGTGCACTGCAGGAGGAGGTCACTCATGACTGTCGACGAATTGCCACCCTATTGCTCTCTGGATTTCTAGTTGTTGGAATACTGCGTAAGTTGCATTCTCTCCTACTCAGTTATTCTCCATTTATAGCACTCAATTCTGAATAGCAATTCATAATTTGAGTTGTTATGCAACGGATTACCCTTAAAACACCGGAATATTACGTTATAACTCTCATCAAGCCTAATATTTTGTTAATCTTCGTTGTGGAAAAAGGATTAAGTCGAAAAAGATTGGGCTTAGAGCAAAAGATGTAACATGTTTGATTTTGGGATTCTGGTTGTAAAATATTGACCTAATGTCTCCGCATTCGTAATCATATTTGCACTTTAGTTCTTACGAAATTTAGCTTCCATGATAATCAATTCCTACAGCTTTAATTCCTGCTTATATATATCAAAAGTTGAACGGGAGGTGTTCTTTTATTTCACGACGTTATTTCAACAATTAGTATAAAACATTGCAAGTTGCTGCTAAGATTTTCTGCTAATAATTACATAAGATCTTTTAAACTAATAGCACGGGTGATTGATCATCACGACCCGCGCTAAATTTAAAATTTAAAATAAGGTGCCATGACCCTGAGCTAGCTAAGATCGGACTTTACATGTCAAAGGGTTAAATAAGCATCAGATAAGACTTGTACACGTGCTTCTTAAATAGGCCTGAATATGTGTTCAAAATCAATTTCTAACTGTCTAGATTACCCTCTCAACAGGCCCCAGATAGTTCAAATTGACGTAAATTTGAAATTTGCTGCCATTTTTCTAACACCATTTGCTGTGTGGCACAAAATATGTAATTTAAAATTAAACGATAAAAGACCTAGATTAAAAACACCTCGATCTCCCAATTGAGCCACATTAATGTTGAACTCATATTTTTCAATCTGCGAGCTTTGTTCTCAGCAGAAACAAAGTCCGTCATTTTAAAATAACGCAGAGAGATATTTCACCTTGAAAATGGTCTTTTGTTAGACTTGTGGAAATTTCCAGGCAACGGTTAATAGCCTCTAAGGGATATAAAATTGTCTACCTAATAAGGAACCAGATTCAGTTTTTTTTAAATTTTTGTAAACTAGTTTTGAGAAGCTACGCCATGAGCATTTATTAGTAATTTTGAAAATAATTTTCTTGTCAGAAATTTCTTTGAGTACTAGATTAAGAGAAAATACTTGCCATTTTCGTTACCTTAATGAGAAGAAACCAAAATATTTAAATAGTAAAAGCGGAATTTAAGCTAAAAAAAGTTTTTTTAATTTAATAAACATATATTGAATTTTGCTAATTCATAAATATGTGTAAATATTTTTTACTTTTTTTACTATAAATGTTTCAGTTTTACCGTTACACACACATATATATTTTGTTCGGTGTAATTTCGTTGACGATTATACTCCACAATTTTTTTTTCTTTAATCATTATAATGCGGCATTAAGCCTCTCTATATGAATGGAATTCATTCACTAGCCACCTAATGAACTTCTTGACTAATGCAATTCCTCCTTCCCTTTTCATTAGGTTAAAATGCCATTTTGAAAGCCGAAAACTATTGGTTTGTTTTGAAGGTTCTCGTTTCTTTTGCCTTATATCCATTCCCATTATATTTTTCGCCTTTAATCTTACACTATGCTTCATAGGTTATTCGTTGTGGATTGTTATACCCAAAATCTAGTCAATGGGATTTTTAATTTTTTCTTGGACGAACGATTCAAGGAAATTTGATAGTCTTCAAATGGAAGGCGTTTTGATAGTTACCACTGGCCCTTTAGCTGACTTCGGGCTTCACAAAGAGAAGGATGAACATCAAAGTGGCAAAAATTCGAAATTAGGGGAACAGAATAATGATTCACAGATGTAACAGAGACAGGCAGACTGGCGAAAAGGCAGAGAAAAGGTAAGATGAGTACTGTGAAAGGGGTCGAATATGGCATACAGTGGGGTGATGGTAGTTTGAAGTGAGAAGTCAACTGAAGTGAGAAGTCAACCGCCAGTTAATGGACTTTTTCCGTATGAGCATACGTTTCCCAGGGTGCACCACGTGGAGGTAAACTCAAGAAATATTATAATAACAATGATTACTGTACTCTCTCAATAGGAAAGCTGTGGACATCCGACTTGAAGAATTTCAATACACTTTTTATCTACTAGTTTGGATGGTCAATTAATTAAATGCAAATACTTTCTACATCGTTCTATTTTGAGTAAATTGTATGAAAAAAATTAATGTATATTACATATATATTATCTAGAAATGTTAAAATAATTATAAAAAAGCCTATTTTGTATCTAATTGAAATTCAGATTATGGATTCAAAATAACCACCTAGGAGCTCCATTTTAAGTGCATTTACACTCACAAATACTACTTTCATCAACATCAAGGAGGATTATGATCTTTACTCCTAATTAAAATTAGAACTTGTTGTTACCTAATAATGTACATTTTATCCACGGTAGCCCTTAAGTTAGCAGAATTCAGACACAAGTCGAATTTCTGTACTTTTTATCCAAGAATGCTAATTTTAACTTTTCTATGATATTTTATGCTATTACTTAGTAGACTATGGTAAATTTGTTTTTTTAAAAGTGATTTTTTTCCATTAGACGATATGACTTTTGCATAAAATGTAAAAATGGTGGTCAAATTAACAATTGTGTGAGCAATTGAATCTGGGCAGTGGTAACGTGACTGACAGTCAATTGGGGGGAGGGGGAGTGGAGTGGAGGAGCAGCTTAACATTTAAGAACGAAGTCAAAGTAGCAAAATAAGTGTTAATTATTTGTTTTACAAATGTGGGCTGGAAAATATTTTTAAACAACTGTTATTTACTGCTTTAAGTCTTAAGATTCACATTTTATATGTGGTCACGTGGATAAACGATTTAATTAATCTCTGTTATATTCAGAGCGTACTGGATGTGTTTAAATAAATGCATTTTTCTTCTAACGACCGAAAAATATTAGTTTTTACTAGCTTGAAATTGTGAATCTCTATATTAATTAAAATAGAAAATTCCTTCATTATATTTATTGTTTCAAATGAACAAAAATGCAACTTGCTCCACTGTAAAAATTGCTAAAAATTGTAGACTGAAATTCCGATTCAGAGCCCCCCTTCCCCCCCCCCTCCCACTTACCTTACGATTTCAATGAAAATATTTTTTTAAAAAAAGGTATTTAAATGACTTGACAAAGTGACCTTTTCTAATCGAAGACATCTTTTCCGTTTTAAAATTTATGAAAATGCATATAATAAAATGCCATTTTAAATTTGTAAAAACTTTGAGCAAAATCAGCCCATTAATAAAATACTTAAGTAACCGCGTTTTAGAATGGCTTAAAATTTCTTCTTCTCGATTGAATTTACCTCTAAATATTTCCATCTCTTTAAACAACGCAGTCTTGTGTGGACGTCGCACTCCATCGGCGATAAGTATCTCTTTCAAAGCGGAACCATCATTCTAAATACAGTGCCATTATATATACCATTTACCTTCTTATTTTATAAAGTTTCTCCAAATTTCGTAAAGTTCATTCTAAATTATCGTAGGCTGACCGTTGAGCAATTCCATAATTAGTCTTTTAAATAAAAGGATTCAACGAAGGGGTTGTGTCACCAAAGATTGGAAAAGAGCAAAATCAATAACTAAATGCTTTATTTTAATTATTGATATTATTTTTAGACGCCTTGAATGTATTAAAAATCAGTTTATTATGTAATTCTGTGTAAATCATGCCAAAAAATGTCAACAAACGAAATTATGCACTTTCATTCAAATACGACAATTATTTGCTTTAATAACACAGGTCGATTCATTTAAAACATGACCTTGAACTATTTCCCTATTTTAAAGGTAAGAAATCAAAACATCCATGCAAAATTGAATTGTGAAATAATCTTTCCCCTAAATTGAGTCATTGTTACAAAATATTGTGTGTTTACCCATTAATTATATAGCCCTATCTTATAAGGGGATGATAGAAATAATTGAAGGACACATTTTGCATAATTTGTCAGGAATTGCTTTGGTGAAATGGATAATGATGATACATTCGATATAAAAATGAAATAATACCCCTGAATTATTAATTCCACATAATTTCTTTCTCTTGGAAAGCTCTCTCTCTCCAAACTCTCGATAGACACTATGTTGATCCTCTCCAATCATATTTAATCAGTGCTTATATTAAAGGCCAGAATAAGATAAAATTTGACCATAAAATTACGAAATGCAAAAACAATTTGGTGTTTCATTTTAGAATAACATTTTCTTGACATATTTTTGGTATTTAATGGACTAGGCAGTTGGCAAAGAAATTAATTTTTCCTCGAAAAAGCAATTCTGCACTGCTTTGCACGCCTGAATTGTTTTGTCAAGTTTATTCCACATCGATTAGCTGAAATAACAAATGGCTGTCAATTTCATATTTACCCCCAAAGCGAAGCGGTGGAATAACCAAATATCCGCCTTAACTTACTTTTCTGTAATTACGTTGCAACTATGTATTTCCCTTTGTTGTTTTAGACGTATTTGTGGAGTTAAGCGTTAACTTTGAAGGTCGTTGGGTTAAAACTCACTCCGAATTCTGGTATTTGCTTCTCTATATTGTAAATGTCATCTATCTTTTTATTAAACTATCCGAAATCATTTGTTAGTCAGAAATATTTATACCTTAGGCCTTATTCATTAACAAGGTAAATCGGGGTTCATGCAATTGGTGCATAGGAATGAATACCGTTCTCTAAAATCTTGATTTTCTCAAATGATCTATTAAAAAACTTTCCGAATTTATTTAGATGCTAATAGGGAAATAAGTACAACAAATTGATTGCTAAGTGGCAATGAAAATAGGAATCTCTGAATATTTCAATGTGACGAAGGTGTCATTTAATAATATCAATATCATGTTTAGAATAATAGTTCATTTCGTTAAAATAGTTGATGTATTTAACACGGTAACAAGGGCGTTTCTGGATAGATGAACTAGAAGGAGGGAGAAAATGGCTGCGGAAATGTATGTAGAAAAAAACATCATTAATAACTTCACATTCTTTCGAATCCAACTTGTTTTCCCCACATAACTGGCTTCTAATTAGCCTCCG